TTTTCGGACATTGAAATAAACCGAAAACATCTCCCTTAACTACTGGAGCCACAGAAGGAGAGCAATGTTGCATGTTATAACGTGTAAGGACACGCTCAATGTAAGCCTTTTGAGATAATCCCAAAATACCATTGACTCTATCTCGGTGTATTTCGATGCCAATAACATAAGAAGCCTCTCCGAGATCTTTCATGTCAAAATTACGCGAGAGTAAGCGCTTGGACTCATGCAACATGTCTAAACTATTACTTGCCAATAGAATGTCATCTACGTAAAGGACAAGTATAGTAAAGTTGCTCCCACTCATCTTGAGGTAGGTGCATTGATCCACTTGATTCTTTATGAAACCTTCTGACTTCAAGACTTGATGCAACTTTAGGTACCATTGACGTGATGCCTGCTTCAACCCGTATATGGATTTCTTTAGCTTACAGACTAGGTGCTCTTGACCTTCAGATTTGAATCCTTCGGGTTGTTTCATGAACACTTCTTCATCCAAATCGCCATTAAGGAAAGCGGTTTTGACATCCATCTGATGTAGCTCTAAGTCAAAGTGAGCTACAAGGGCCATAACGATCCTTAAGGAATCCTTTCGAGAGACAGGAGAAAAGTTCTCTTGATAGTCAATTCCCTCTTTCTGAGTGTAGCCCTTTGCAACCAATCTCGCTTTGTAGCGTTCAATGTTTCCATTCGGGTCCAGTTTTGTTTTGAAGACCCATTTACATCCTACGGGTTTTACACCGCTGGGTAATTCAACCAAATCCCATACATTATTTTTCTTCGTGGAGTCAAGCTCTTCAATCATGGCTTTATTCCATTCAGAAGACTGATCACTGTTAATGGCTTCATTATAAGAGGTAGGATCAGTAAACTTTCCAGCATCCATTTCTGCTTCAGTCAAGTAGGTAACATAATCATCAAAGTTAGTAGGCCTTTTAGACCTAGATGACCTCCTGAGCAAATTTTCGGATTGAGCATTGGCAGCATTGTCTTGATGGTGATCATTTGAGGTGTCTTCATTTCCAGGTACATTAGAAGTAGGAGGCGGTGCAGTGTCCTGCGGATTGGAATTGAGTACAAGAGGAGTAATTGGAGGTAAAGTAATCGACAAGTCTCTCCCCCCCGCGTCTTGTACTTCTAGCAATTCATCATAAGGGTTTTCACTGCTCCCACTGACCTTAAAATCGTCAAGGAAATGAGCATCTTTGGTTTCTACAATGCGAGTGACGTGGGAAGGACAATAAAATCTGTAACCTTTTGAGTGAGAAGGATAACCAATGAAGTAGCAAGTTACAGTTTTCATGTCGAGTTTCTTCAAGAAGGGATTATAAAGTTTAGCTTCGGCAAGACAACCACATTCTTTCATATATCTTAGACTCGGTTTCCTTCCTGTCCAGAGTTCATAAGGAGTTTTAGGAACAGCTTTAGAAGGAACCCTATTGAGTATATGAATGGCTGTTTTTAAGGCCTCGGTCCAGAGAAATAGAGGTAAACCTGAGTTGGCTAACATACTGCGTACCATGTCCATTAGGGTCTTATTTCTTCTCTCAGCAACACCGTTCTGCTGAGGAGTACCGGGCATGGTATATTGGTTTACAATCCCCTGGGCCTAACAAAACTCATAAAATGGACCAGGAGCTTGACCCACATCAGTATGTCTACCATAATATTCACCTCCTCTATCTGATCTTACAACTTTTATCTGAGGATCAAGTTGTTTTTCAACTTCAGTTTTATAATCTTTAAAAGTTGTAAGTGATTCAGATTTTTCCTTAATGAGATACAAGTACATATAACGAGAATAATCATCAATATAAGTGATAAATGAGTTATGTCCAGTTATGTTAGTGATAGAGTAAGGACCACTAATTTCAGTGTGAATGAGCTCTAATAAATTAGAACTTCTAGTGGCACCTTTCTTATTCACTGATGTCAATTTACCTTTAAGGCATTTGACACATGTTCCAAAATCATTGAAATCGAGAGATGGTAACACTTCATTCTTCACGAGTCTAGATAAACGTTCTCGTGAAATGTGGCCTAAGCGTTGATGCCACAACATGGATGAAGTTTCTAAGTCTCGTTTCCTTTCTCTTTGTTAGTGTCTGATTGATATTATATGACAACAAAGATTTGGAAAAATCATCATCTAGTTCTAATTTATAGAGACCACCTTCCAGAAAACCATGACCAAACACTTGAGAATTGAAACTAATAGTAAGTCTGCCATGACCATGAGAAACATCAAAACCGTCTATGTCTTACTTTGGTCCTGATACTAAATTCCGAGTAATCTCAGGAATACATAAGGTATCATAAAGTTTAATACATAAACCAGTTTTCATTATTAATTCTAAGGTTCCCACAGCTTCGATAGCTAGTTCTGTTCCATTCCTCAGCTTAAGTGTTCTTCGGTTTCTTTCCAGCTTCTGGATTGTAAGGAATCCCTGAAGTGAGTTGGTTGCATGAACCATAGAACCAGAGTCAAACCACCATGTATTAGTTGGAACATTTAAATTAAAGGACTCAAGTATCATGTAAAGATGATTACCTTTCTTCGTCAGCCACTCCTTAAAGTCTTGGCAGTCTTTCTGTCTATGTCCTTCCTTGCGGCAGAACTTGTAGTAAGACTTCCCTTTGGAGTTCTTAGAGCTGGAAGAAGCACTTGCATCACGTTTTTGGACTTTAGAAACATCCTTCTTATTGACATTGCCCTTCCTCTTCTTTGGATTAGCGGTCATGAGGTAAGCCACATCAGGTTTGTCCAGCTTCAGACGCTCTTCTTCTTGTACGCACATAGCAATCAACTCATTCATCGACCACTTGACCTTCTCGGTGTTGTAGTTGACCTTGAAAGCTTCAAAAGATGCAGGAAGAGAAGTCATTATGAAGTGCACCAGAAAACCTTCACTGATCTCCATGTCTAATCCCTTGAGCTTACGGGCCATGTCGTTCATCATCATGATGTGCTCACGAATCCCGCTATTCCCGTCATATTTTCTAGTCACCATCTTCAAAATAAGAGTACTAGCATGTGCCTTAGAAGTTGCTTTGAATTGTTCCTCCACGGAAGCCAGATATATTTTAGCATTAGATGAATCTGGAATAGCTCCCCTGATGATTATGCTGATGGAATTTTTAATGAGCATAAGAGCCATTCGGTTGCACCTCTCCCATCTCTCATGTACTATTTTATCTTCAGCAGTACTTTTATCACTGAGGGCAGGAGGGGCAGGCTCTCTCAGTGCATAATCAAAATCCAACATGCCAAGAGTTAGAATCAGTGAATCTTTCCATGAAGAAAAATTCGCACCGTTCAAGGTCTCAATTCCCATATTTGGGGCTGATAGTGGATTCAGATGAGAGAAATAAGACACATAATTAAAGAAGAAGTTAAGGGGTAATGAACTAAGGCTGGCGAAGTTAAGGACCATTATATAGTAATGAAGCTGTGATAAGAGTCTATTATAACACCAAAAAATAATAGACTAAATTTAATTCTACTTAAACAAATGGCTTTCACTTTGGTTATGACCACTTATTTAAGTATTATGAATAATAAAATAATCATGTGCAATTTAAATGTAACACATCACCTTTGGGCAGAAGTGAAACATTTAAATTTTAATGCACATAAATATTTAGTTCGCAGTACACAATTATAACACATCATCTTTGGACAGAAGTGAAATATTATGTATTTAAGGCAAGTGTCATGCAAATATCTATTTAAGGATATGCACTAAATGACAATGCTTAATAAGACTTGAAATAAATTTTACAAATATTACACATCACCTTTGGGCAGAAGTGTATTCTAAGGTATTATTCAAGTCAAGCAAAATAAATCAATTTAACTAATCATAAAAATAAATTTTATTTAAGATTAGTCAAATGATTTATAATTTAATGTTAATAATTAATTAACCGCAAAAGTTAAAGCGGTTCGGGGCGGGGCTACGAAAAAAAATTGGGGACCCATTAAGATTAATTTAATTAGAAAATCAAAAGGCATATAAGGCAAGAGATTTTCCAACAAGTAAATTTTTTTTAAAAATTATTTTTATGGTATTTTAGCATATCCCTTAATTAGTTTTGCTATTCTAGGTAAAGTAAATTAATAAATAAGGAAATAGAATATATTATGCAAAAGTGAGATATGCCATACAATTTAAGGAAACACAATTATATTTCAAATTAAATACCAAAAGGCGATGATTTCATCAAAATAAGGATGAACACCTTAAAAGATTCAACACAAAATTATACTTGCTGATTTCGAGAACAGATCAAATTTGTGTTTTTTTTTTTTTGGGTGGAAACGCAATACACCAAATCTTAAAAAAAACATATTTTTTTTTTTGTTAATGGGGTGCCGTATGAAATTAAGATTATCTAACAAATTAGAGAACATGATTTGGAAACCCATTAGCAAGCAAGTTTAAACACATAAATTTCGTTAGGGTTAAAAACTACTGATCTGATCTCAATTTCAGTATCTTATGGAACGAAAATAAGAATTGATTAATCAACATATCGCTCTGATACCACATGTTGATCAATTCTTAAACAAAAAATATAAATTGGGGATTTAATCATGTGTACCTGATAATCCTGTAAACGCAGTTAGGATTGAGGCCATGATTCTCACGCAGATCGAGTTCCCTTTTAGGGTGTATCGTTATGATGGCTAAGGTGAGGATGACTCACGAGAATAGAGAGGCGGAGAGGAGGCGTAAGATTGGTGTGTTGATCTCTGCCTAATGACCTCTATATAGATACACCCAAGGGGAAACCCTAATTAGGTCGTAAGGGTAATTACGTCCATCGAATAATTACCAATTAAATACGTAGGGTATTTATTAGGTCAATGATCAATTAATTAGATAAATGATAACTCAGGCCACATAATAAAATCGTGTCCAACATTTGCTTATTGGGTGCTGTAGGGGACTTTGGGGTTTGATTATTGGTTATGGGTGTGTTTTCTGGGGTTTGTAATGTAGTGCTTTGGGTTTTAGTTTGGGTGGGATTTATATCCAGTGTAGGGACAGAGGTGCTGGGCTGTGATGAGGGGATTTGTTTTATAGTGATTTGGGTTTTGTGAGGGAGGTTATTAGGTGTGGGGTCATGGATGGGAACCTGAGAGCTAACACCCGTTGTCACTTTGTTGATGGCTTTGTAGTGGAATCTCTCTGCAGTTTTTTCCGGCAGGAAGTTCTGGTCATCAGGTGGATGAGCTGAAATTTTGGATACAAGAGCTGGGTTTTTGGGTACAGGAGCTGGGTTTTTGGGTGCTGGAGCTGGTTTTTTTTTTTGAACAGGAGCTTGGTTTAAGGGTGTTGGGGATGGAAACAAATTGCAGCCAAGATTGTGTCTTCCAACACCTCTGCACTCATGGCAAAAATGTGGAACATTTTCATAGTAGGCATTGAGAATCTGTGGGATATCTCCATTTTGCACACAGAATTTGGTAATTTGTGGCAGTGAGATATCCACCTCAACACAAACTCTTGCAAGGGAATGACGGCCAAAATTTTCAGTGGTAGCATCAAGTTTTATGGGCTTGCCAAAAACTTGAGCAATATCCAAGAGGGATTTCCTATCATGCAAATGGATGGGGAGGTTTTTTATAGCCACCCAGATGGGAAGTAAAGGGGATTCATACCTTGGGTCAAAGTTTGGCGTCCACTTCGATATCTTCATAGCAAAGCTACCAAGTTTCCATTCATATCTCTTGAAGCACCTCATGAAGTCTTCATCCTTTGTGAAGTGTAGCAGCACATGGGTATCATCTAGAAGCGTGACTGTGAATTCTGTGAAGCCAATTTTTTCAAGGTGGGATCGGATAAAAGGAAGTGATGGTCTGCCATGGAAGAATGACCCAACCAGTGCTCTATTGAATCTTGAAGCTAGAATTTCCACCTCTTCTTTTGTGAAGCTTACACAGGGGAGTCCTTTGTGTTTGCTCACTGGGCGTCCTTGCTCAATTTGTTGTAGAGGAGTGTTGTAGATATATATATATATATATATATATATATATATATATATATATATATATATATATATAAAAGAAAGAGTTTAGTAGAGATTAAGAGAGAGAGATTGATGAGTGAATTAAAAAATTAGGGAAGTATTCATAGGTAAAAAATAACCCCCCAACCCTCCAAATGACTTTATTGTTGATATGGCTTGGGACGTGTTTCTCTCTCTAGCGCTGGGCAGTTCTCGCGGGTTTTGTTCATCCCTTTTGAGACTTCCGATTCCAGCCCATTTTTTGATGTTTTTGGCATGATTCTTTGAGCTCTTGAATCGTTTGAGGCATAGCAATCACTTCCTAGGCTTGGTTGGGTGATTTCGCTGCTGGAAAATGGCAAAATCGCAGGTCAAAATTGCGGAGTTACTGTTCATCGACGAACACAAATTCTTCAATTGGCCCCGTTTCCAGCTCGATTGATGGCTAATTTTTTGGGGTTTAGGAGCGACTTGGGATGCTTAATCAAGGCCTGATGTTGGATTCCCAATCCAATTGAAAACCCCTTCGATTTGAGCATTATTTGGATTCGCTGGTACTGTTCACAGTTCGAGTTTGAACTCCAGGTTTTACCCGGTTGCTGCCTGTTTCTACCCCCAATTTTTTGGCTTTGTGTTCGGTTTTCAGGGGCCTTTCAATGTGTATTCTTGGATTTTGGATTCACACAACATGAATTGGTTTCCTTGATTTTTGGTTGCTCGAGTTACTGTTCATGTTCTTGGTTTATCCTGGAAGGTTTGCTGTACTGGTCTTGGCTTCCTTGTGCTGGTTTTGCTTGCCATTTCTGGATTAAACTGATTGAATGTGCACCTATTTGAGCCATGAACTGACTGTGCATCATGTTTGTGCCTTGTAACCTCGTTCTTCATTACTTTGCCTGCACTACTCTTGCTTGGACTGCCCAGGTTCTCTGGTTGTTCATGGAGCTGTTTTGGTATTGTTTAGAGGAATAGGATGCAACCAGCAACCTGGAATGGTTTCTCTGTGGCTTGAACCAGTTTGGCAGTTGTGTTTAGACGCTGATTTTCTGTTTTCTAGGTCTGGGCAGTGGTTTCAATTGGCTTGGCTTGCCTACTTCGTTGGACAGCCACCCTAAGTCACTGTTGGCAAATCATGATTTCCAATGCTGCCATTTTCGAATAGCACTCCTTTTGAGCTGTTTGTTCGCTGAACTCAATTTTATTGAGGGATGGGATGGCATGCATAGGTTGCTGGCAGACCAACCTTTCCCCTCGCACCGGGTGACTTTTGTTGTTTGCTGTGTTGTGGCCATTTCTTTGGGTGAGACCGTGACTTTTGTTCATGTTGAATCCCTGGGGATCATGGCTGTTTGACGTGGTTTGGTCTACCACTGTCCTTGTTCCTTTCACCTGTTTCTTTTTGGCTACTTCAAATGCTTGTTTGTACTTTGGTCCTAATTGGAATCTGCAGCTGGTTTGCCACTGGAGTTTGAGGGCTGGGAACATGGTTTGCCACTGGTTTGCAGCTGGTTTGCCACTGCTCTTGGTAGCTTAAAACCAGGGGCTGCCTTGGGTGCACAAAGTTGATGGCAGATTGACTTTGCCGTTGGATGTTTGATGCTTGTTTGTGTGCCTTGAATTAGTGTGTGGAAATTGGAAAGGATTTGAAAGGGATAGAGCTGCTTTGTGGTCTCCTATGGGCTGAAAGAACGCTGGTTTGGGGCTGGACTTGCTACTGGACTGCATTTGATGGAATGCCACTGCCTTTGAGGAACCTTGGTGGTTCTCGAAGATTGAGGCTGGTCCTAGGGCAGCTTTTGCCTCGTTTGTTGAGCTGTTGTACTTGAATGAGGTACCTCTAGCCTGCCATTTGATGTGGACAGGTATTTGAACCCATGGAACCATTGAATTGCTCTTTGTGGATGTCTTTTGGCGTTTTGAACTTGTGTTTGTGGGAAGGAGTGTGGAACCATGGCTGTCTTTACACTTGGATTGGCCTCAGTTCTGTGGAATCCTAATTCATTTTGAGATGGGTCTGATGTTTACTTTTGCCAGTTTGGTCCTCCTGGCAGGCCGCCCTTAGTTTCTTCCTGACCGTTTCGGTTGGGTTTTTTGGAAGACTTTAGGCTATCTTAGCTATGATGTGGATCTTCTAGCTAACTGGGCTTTTTCTTGAGTGGAGGAGGTTGTTTTCGCTGGGTCTTGCCTATCTACGTGTTGTTTCTGAACTCAACCGAGGGCAATACTAGATGAAGGCTTATGAGACTACTAGTGAACTTCTACTTCGTCTGTTGGGGGGATGCTTTCCAAATACCTGGGGGGCACTCTGGCGTAGACCTAGGGGAGGGGTCTGTATGGCAGAGTGGGGTCACTTTGGACTTTGCCCTTCGTGACGATGGTGGACAACTTCTAGCATTCGGGGATGGGCCCTTGGCTTACTGGTTGAATCTATGGCAAAAATAACTGAGCACCTGCCTTGGATGGATTTGATGGATGACACACATTTTGGATTCATCTTTGAAGTACCTTGGATGTAGTTGATGGATCACGTGTTCGTGAGATTGAGTCCTTGGAGAGGGAGTATATGTGCTTGGCTTGTGATGCCACTAACATATACTCCCTCCATGCTCTGGTTTGGTCTAGCATACTACTGCTGGGTGATGCGGGGTACTGGAAGGTCCACAAGAGCCCGGACGGGGATTACTAGTTGTTGTGTTTGACCACTTTGATGATTGTTTTGACTGTTTATTTGTATGGCCTGCGTGCCAAGTTGTTGTATTGTTGTATTGCTGTTGTTTTGTTTTTGTATTCATTACATGCACAGAACCGTTTCTATGGTTTAGCATATGACATTGATGTACCGTTTTGATTTGGGGTAATAATAATTTACATTTTACCCTTGACTATATTGTTGTTGGAGGCGCTCCCCAGGGCCTACCACCAAGATAGAAAAGGAAAAAATGGAAATTGGACCAAAACCGTGAAAGTTTCACTACCCTCAGCTTACTACTTCTAAATAGGGGTGTTCATTCGGTAAAACCGAACTGAACCGAACCGAAATTTCGGTAAACTGAAATTTCGGTAATTTATTTTTTGTACCGAATATCGAACCGAAATCAAATGGTTCGGTTCGGTAAAAACCAAATTAAATCGGTTTGGTAATCGGTTTTACCAAAAACCGAACATAAACCAAAATTTGAACTTAAAAAATTCATTTCATTCTCCAAATTGAAAATAACAAAGCATAATCCATTATATATAAGTTCATTACACACTCCAAAATTAAAATAAAGCAACACAATTAGAACCATTACATAAATCAAACAAAATAGTTGATACAAATAAAAGAATTGTCCATTCCGAAATAATTATTATTAATTATTAATTATTATTAATTTGATGCTTTCATGATTTCCAATCTTAAATAACTCCAAATTTAGATAATAGGACTTAAAATTAGTGGGGTGAATATTCATTATTTCAATATTGGGATAAATATTGGGAATTGAATTGAGTAGCAATGGATAAATTTATAAATAAGTATTAAATAATTTCGGTATTCAGTTTTTACCGAAATACCGAATCCAAATTTTGTACCGAACCGAAAATCGATTTTTTCAAAATATGAGAACCGAATACCGAACCGAATTATTCGGTTAGGTTTCGGTACGTACCAAATTGTTCGGTTTCGGTTTGGTTCGGTCGGTTTACCGAATTGTGCACACCCCTACTTCTAAATCTAGGACTAGCAGGTTGTGACAGAGGATGTTGTAGCACTGCTTAATACCAAGTTATCAGAGTGCTACACCAACCGTTAAGTAAACAATCCAAAACAGAAAAAGAACAGCGCACAACACACAAATTGTTTACGCAGTTCGGAGCAAATTCTCCTACGTTTGCGAGGCCCACGTCTGTGTAACAGCCTTTGAAAGTTCGTGGGGGGCGCAGCAGAAATCACCAATTAAGAACTATGCAAACAAATCAACAAACTGTGATGCAGAGAAGACACTGCAACACTGTCACAGTAACAGATGACGGACAGTGTGCTATTACACTTCTCTGTCACAAGCACACACAGAAGCAGATGACGCAGAGGGTGTTACAGCGCCTACTGGACAGAATGCTGTAACTATAAAAGCGTAAAAATGACACCAGATATGTTTACACAGTGCGGAGAAACTTTCCTAATCTGCGGGGCCCAAGTCCGTGTAATAGCCATCCACTAAATTACTAGATGCAAGTTACACCGATACATAACAACATGATGAGACACCCTTCTCCGAATTGCTATGACAAAACTTCTAATCTAGGATTTCTAACCCGAACTCTGTCCAGATCCGCTTTGGCTATCACATCTCCATCGAGATCACGAGGACAAACGTGTTGACAGCCCACTTGTTCAGCTCTGATTCATCTCCTGGACGTCACGATCTGTTTGGCGTTGAAGATCTCCTCCTTCATGTAGATCGTAACCTTCTTCACGCAAGGGAAGCTCCGGGACGCGACGGGAATGCTCTACATCAGCGTATATTCTCTATTTTCCCTCTCAATCGATCGAAGTAATTCCCAGGGACCTGCTGCGTATTTATAGGCTTCTCTTAATACAATCCTAGTAGGAATAGGTTAGTAGAAGTTGGCTTGAACTCTACTTCCTTAGTCTTTATCCACAAGTAGCCTAAAGAGTTCGGATTCCTTAGCATGTACAGCTAGAGTTATTATCATGTAATCACAATCCCAATAGGTCTCTAATTCAGATTGCAACTTAAAATCACGTGCTCAGACGTCTGATCCCGCACAATGTGTTGCAGCATCGTGCTGTATCATCTTCTGCGTCAACCTCAAAAACTGCAGCAGCTCTAGAAATCTAAATAAAATAAACCTCTCCTAACAAATAGAGGTTTCTACCTAGTAAAACATCTAACAAATATGGGATCCTATTTTGCCAAAAGATTTGCCAACACCACGGAACTAACAATCTCCCCCTTTGGCAATTTTTGGCAAAATACAGCGTGCACCATGCGCATAAAAGATTAAAGCATCTTTTAAGAACTAAGCCTTTTCTCCCCCTTTTTGACACAAAATATGCCAATCTCCTTAAGGGTAAAAAAGAAAAGTAATACCAAGTTCTTTTAAGAGCATACAACAATAAGAAGCGCAAAACAAAAAAAAACTACCATTTTGAACCATGCACGTGCTTCCCATTTGAATTTTATGCTGGAGCTCCATCTCTTTTTGCAATTTACTCCCCCTGAGGATATGCATCATAACCACATCTTGCTTCATAAAGTGCGCTAACTCTTTAACAGATCACCATGATTTGTTGCAACGAACCACCCAAAGATCAAGCTAATAACTTAAGCTTAACCGCTTTAATACCAATTGAAAGTTCGTGGGGGGCGCAGCGGAAATCACCAATTAAGAACTATGCAAACAAATCAACTAACTGTGCTGCAGAGAAGACGCTGCAACACTGTCACAGTAACAGATGACGGACAGTGTGCTATTACACTTCTCTGTCACAAGCACACATAGAAGCAGATGGTGCAGAGGGTGTTAAAGCGTCTACTGGACAGAATGCTGTAACTATAAAAGCGTAAAAATGACACCAGATATGTTTACGCAGTTCGGAAAAACTCTCCTAATCTGCGGGACCTACGTCCGTGTAATAGCCCTCCACTAAATCACTAGATGCAAGTTACACTGGTACATCTATGACAAAACTTCTAATCTAGGATTTCTAACCCGAACTCTGTTCAGATCCACTTTGGCTATCACATCTCCACCGAGATCACGAGGACAAACGTGTTGGCAGCCCACTCGTTCAGCTCTGATTCATCTCTTGGACGTCATGATCTGTTTGGCGTTGAAGATCTCCTCCTTCATGTAGATCGTAACCTTCTTCACGCAAGGGAAGCTCTGGGACGCGATGGGAACGCTCTGCATCAGCGTATATTCTCTATTTTCCCTCTCAATCGCTCCAAGTAATTCCCAGGGACCTGATGCGTATTTATAGACTTCTCTTAACACAATCCTAGTAGGAATAGGTTGGTAGAAGTGTGCTTGAACTCTACTTCCTTAATCTTGATCCACAAGTAGCCTAAAGAGTTCGGATTCCTTAGCATGTACAGCTGGAGTTATTATCATGTAATCACAATCCCAATAGGTCTCTAATTCAGATTGCAGCTTAAAATCCCGTGCTCAGACCTCTGATCCCGCACACTGTGTTGCAGCATCGTGCTGTATCATCTTCTGCGTCAACCTCAAAAACTGCAGCAGCTCTAGAAATCTAAATAAAATAAACCTCTCCTAACAAATAGAGGTTTCTACCTAGTAAAACATCTAACAAAATGGGATTCTAGTTTGCCAAAAGATTAGCCAACACCACGGAACTAACAGCCTTCCCACTATATCAACTTAGAGTTTACACCCTCAATGTCAATAGAATCGATCTATCCATTGATTTAAACTCTACAACTCAATGGGAATGAAATAAACTCGGTTTATGCTTATTTACCAAGACTGAAACACTAAGAAACTTATCTGTGACGTGTTCTTGTCCTACGCTCCAGTACTTCTGAGTTCAACTGTTTGGAACGCACGTTAATCTTCTTGCAGAAGGCTATTCTGCATACCAGCAATACTTAATTCTTTGGACAGCTTGGCTGACGTGTTCTGCTCTTCAAACCATGAGACGCACGTACTGACACTAGCAGCTAGACCCATAGCACGAAAAACGCAAACCGGGCTTTACCTGGTTCGTTGTGGCTTGAATGACACCAATGGGGAGACTAACAACAAACGCTAGAGCAAAAGCAAATAGCATTGCCCACCATGGAATTTGAACAGTTTCTTTCCAAACAAAGCACATAACGAGCGAAAGGCAAGTGCTGGCTCTGGGACTTGCTTGTAACTCCTCATTAGTTTGGCATGGATATCCATCTTGAAGACGAGATCTCCCTTTATTTACACTCTGCGTACATATGCAAAATCAGATCTCCCTTTATTTATACTCTTCAAGACGAGATCAACCCTAGTAGAGTCCTGGTACGACTCTACCTACGAAGCATAGTTATCCAGTAGAGTCCTTGATATAAACTCCTTCCTATTTCGCACATGTCCATAATAAATGTTAGAGGTTGTAGCGTATAATGTAACAACAAGGCTCAGAGTCCTCCTTCAGCTTGGTAAACAGTAGTCCCAAATATACTTGGACTATTCGAGTGACGGACAGGATGCTACACCTCTATGAACCACATAACTAGGACAAACTGAGTATTCTTCTAAAAACTACTACACATGATTTTTGTCAAAAATAAAGCCAACAGTGGAACAATGAGACTAAGACACAATCAGGGAACTAACAATCTCCCCCTTTGGCAATTTTTGACAAAAACCACTACTCAGCCGTATTGAACCTCTTCTCCCCCTTTTTTGCACAAAAAATGCCAAGGTTTTTTTAAAAAATGGGGCAAAGAGTGAAGAGTAATATCCAACCGATCAAGAGTAGGTACAAGGTGACATGTAACAACTTAAGTGTGGCATAGAACTATGCCTACATCTGGCACTTGTCCAACATGAAGTAGCAAATGAGTAAGGATAGAGCAAATAAGCACGTATTTGCAAGCATATGAAGAAAAACATATATCATATCCAGCAGCAGATCCCAACCTAAGTATTAGAATCCAAAAGCAAGTGAGAGTGGAGCAAAAAAATGTACTCCTGAAAATCCATAGCTAAAACCAACCTCAACACAAAACAAACTGAAAATAAACAGAGTTTGTGATTATATAATCACATCAAGTTGAGTCCCCCTCCTCACTCTTCCCCTCAGATTGATCCTCCTCTTCATAAGATTGGGTGCTCCCAGTTTCCTCATCCTCCCTTGTGTCTGTGTGCTCCACATCTGGAGTTGCTTCTCTTTCTTATCGCAACAAGACCACCAAGTGACCCTTTTCCATCTCTAGTTTCTCTTTCAGCTTTGAGCACCTGGCTAACTCCTCTTTGACCTGCATCAGTTTCTGCTCCAAGAATCTCACCATGGAGGGTGCCTTTTTGACTTTTTCAGTTGTTGGACCAGCAACCTACATGTCATTGTGATGTTTTCCCTCCATGTGCCTGCTGTCCACTTGAAGTGGTGGCTCTTCTGGTTCTTCCTCCTCCACTTCCTCTTTGGTGAAGCCCTGAGAAAGCAGTAGACTGTATAGGAGTGTTTGATAAGGCAGCCCAATGGAGTTGACTTTGTATTTCTCAGCTGCAAAGAGCATAATCTGATCAAAAATTGCCCAGGTCAAAGGGAATGTTGTGCTTGATTTTGTATAGCAGTCTGGCCATGATCTTGGAGCAGTGTTGGTGTGTGTGGTGGGAAGCCAATGAAGGGATGCAACCCTTAGTAAAACAGCATATGAACTTTTGAGAATAGAAGAGGAAACTTTTGCTCTGCTAGACTGAGAGGCTCTTTGACCATTTGTGAGGTCTAACCACATGGTCTTTTCTGAGATTTGGGTATCCTTTTCGTAGGGAGTGAGATTAAGAAGAGTATTGATAAGTGCAGGGGAAATTTTGTAGGTTTTGCCACGCACAAACACTTTGTGGAACAAGGGGTCAGTAGGATCAGCACAAGATTCAGACAAATTGCATTACAATTCATAGATAACTGTTTTAACAAATGATCCTTGAAGTGTGACAGATTTCAGCAGTTTGAATTGTTCAAGAAGAGGGAGCAGATTTGTCTTAAGTTGAAAATCTTCCACATCAATTCTTCGTTGCACAATAATGAATTTTTTGTTCATTCTATGAAAAAGAGACTTTGCTTTTGGAGAGACAAAACGAGTGTAAGGAGACTTACGTTATTTCACTACAAGAGTGACTTTTGTTCTGGATCCCATAGGAGATAGAGGTGGTGGTTGCTTCTTCTCGAGTGGTTCCTGTGAATTTGACTCTTCCTCCAGCTTCAACTTCCGCTTGGATCTGCATTGAGGGACTGAGATGTGGTGTGCTTTCTTCTTGCTTTTCTGCACTGTTGAGGGTTTTTGAAACGGTACTTCTGAAGCTGCAACAAGAGGTTCTTCATCAAGGATTTTGATGAACTCCTCGTTTTCTTGAACTGGTTCTGCTGGTGATGGCTTGCTTATGGTTGGTGCTGGTTCTGGCTTCTGTCCTTCCAAGGTGTCTACTTCCTCTTGTGATTTGTGGTATTCAAGATAGAACACCTGTGGTAGATCTGTGACTGGAGGGGGTGCTACATCCTCTTTTTGATGTTGCATGTGAACAATCTTCTCTGGAGTCCCTTGGTTCTCCGTCGTCATCTCCCTTTCTCCTGAGTCTTGGAGCTTCTTGCTTGCTTAGCAATATTTTTTGAACCATGAGGGCTGATTTTTGGAGCCACTTAGACGATTGAATCTTTGTGGTAGGGAAATCTTGGTTCTCACCATGGTGACTGGTGTGATTGATGCAGAGAGCTAGGGTTTCAGAGGAGACTGCAAGAATAGGATGAGAATTTTTGAAATGTGGATTGAAGCTGGGTATTCTCCCTCTTGTGTGCCTCTTCGTATTTTTGAGTACATGCGCCGTCTGGAGTCTCGAGGAGTGTGTGTCATAATGACTCGTATTTTGAAACAACGTGCTACATAATTACCCTTTTTCAAATGCAATGTGTGATTCCAGCGTATGACATGGCGTGTACACTCTGAGATGGCTTTTAAGTGTCCACGTGTCAAGTTCTCAAGCTTAGGATGGTGCACAAAGGCCCAGATCTAACCTGAGCTTCTCAAATCTATTTCCGTCCAGTGCCTTAGTGAAAATGTCTGCAAGTTGTTTCTCTGTTGGAATATGTTCCAAAGTAACTGTCTTATTTCCTACCAGTTCACGTATGAAGTGATGTTTTATATCAATGTTCTTGGTACGAGAATGTAGGATAGGGTTCTTTGAAATACTGATTGCACTTGTGTTATCATAGTAAAGTGGTATCGTGCCATGACTGATCCCATAATCTGCTAACATGGACTTCATCCATAATAATTGCGCACAACAGCTTCCAGCAGCTATATACTCGGCTTCAGCAGTTGACAGAGATACTGAATTTTGTTTCTTGCTCATCCAAGCTACCAGATTTCCACCAAGGAGAAAACACCCTCCAGAAGTACTTTTTTCTATCATCTATGTTTCCAGCCCAATCAGCATTACTGTAACCTGTGAGGTTTGCTTTGCCACCTTTGACGTACCACAACCCTAGACTTTGTGTACCTTTGATATACTTCAGAATTCTTTTTACTGTCTTGAGGTGTGATTCCTTAGGACTTGCTTGATATCTGGCACAAACTCCTACACTGTCCTGCTGGCTGTTAGATATAGTAGACTTCCTATCATTCCTCTGTACCTGGTAGGATCAACATCTTTTCCTTGGTCATCTCTGCAGATTTTCTCATGTGTTGGACAGGGAGTTCGAGCACTTTTACAGTCACCCATGTCAATCTTTTTTAGCATATTCTGAGCATACTTTGTTTGAGAAATAAATATTCCTTCAGCAGTTTGTTTGATTTGTAGACCTAGAAAAAAAGGTTAGCTCACCTATTTTGCTCATTTCGAATTCTGTCTCCATGATTTAGACAAATTGGTTTACCTGTGTCTTTGAAGTTGATCCAAACACAGTACAATATCATCAACATATATTTGAGCTATTAGGATTTCTGAGTCATACCTCTTGAAGAACTTGCCGTTGTCAGCACCTCCTCTATTGTATCCTTCCCGTAATAGATATGAAGTGAGTCTTTCATACCATGCTCGAGGTTCTTGTTTTAGTCCATAAAGTGCCTTCCTTAGCTTGTACACATGCTAAGGATGTTTTTGATCAAAAAAGCCCTTGGGCTGAGCAACATATACTTCCTCTTTTAGATAGCCATTAAAGAAGGCTGTTTTTACATCCATCTAATATAGCTTCATGTTGAGTATACATGCCAGGCTGATGAGCATACGTATTGACTCCAGCCGTGCTACTGGTACAAATGTTTCTTCAAAATCCACTCCTTCTACTTGTGTGTACCCTTGAGCTACCAATCTTGCCTTGTTTCTTATGACATTTCCTTCTTCATCAGTTTTGTTCCTATAGATCCACTTTGTGCCTATCACATTCACCCTGTCTGGTTTTGGTACTAGTTCCCAGACTTGATTTCTCTCAAATTGTTCTAGCTCCTCATGCATTGCATTTATCCATGCTTCATCAGTAAGGGCTTCCTTTATGTTTCTCGGTTCTGATGTTGACGTATAGTAAGCCTTGGTCATCTCAATAAAGTTTATGGTCTTCTTTATGGTCTTGATCCCTTCTGTTAGTGATCCGATGACATTCTCCAGGGGATGATTCTTTTGAATATGTGTGGGAACAGTAGATGTCTCTGGTACTTGCTCCTTAACTTCAGTTGTTTGTGTTTCTGCTGGCTGAGCTTCTTGGTCTGGTTCAAGTGGTGTCGTATCAGTTGTTGGAGCATCTTCTAAGTCATCCGGGTTCTTTCTCTCCATACGGTCATCCACAATTACATTTGTAGACTCCATGACTGTTTTGGTTCTTTTGTTGTAAACCCGATAAGCTTTTCTGTTTGGAGAGTACCCCACAAAAATAGCTTCATCACTTTTCGGGTCAAACTTTCCTTTCTGCTATCGGTCTCTTAGAACAAAACATCTAGCTCCAAAGATATGGAAGTGGGCGATGCTTGGTGTTCTTCTCTTCCAAAGTTCATAGGCTGTTGATTTTGTTCCCCTCCTCATGTAGACTCTGTTGATAGTGTAGCATGCTATATGGACGGCTTCTGCCCACAGTTTTTTAGGCAGATCAAAAGTATTTATCATTGTTCATGCCATTTCCTGTACATGCCTGTTTTTCCTTTCAGCTACTCCGTTTTGTTGTGGTGTCTTTGGTGCAGAGAACTCATGCCATATCCCCTGTTGTTCATAGTACTCTTAAAGGGCTTGTTTTCAAACTCACCTCCATGGTCACTTCGTATTCGGATGACTCCTTTTATTTTCAACTGCTTTTCATTTTGTACTTTGTTGCATAGGGTTGCAAAAGCTTCTAGTGCATCATCTTTGTGCTTTAGGAAACTCACCCAGGTATATATTGTAAAGTCATCTACTACCATAAGCACAAATCTCTTCCCTCCTATGCTTTCAGTCTTCATAGGACCGAATAGGTCAAGATGAAGTAGTTCAAGTGGTTGCTGAGTTATTCTGAGGATTTTCTTCGGATGACTTGAGTGGACCTGTTTACCAAGTTGGCATGGTTTGCATACCTCATCTTTTATTTTAGTGATTTTTGGTAAACCTCTCACAGCTCCTGAATTTGATAGAGTTGTCAGATCTTTGTAATTGATGTGCCCTAATCTGTAATGCCATAGTCTGGCATCTTCCTCACTTGTTGTGTAGCACACAGGATGTTGGGACTCACTCTATAGTGGTTGTTTGTGGTTCTGTCACCTTCTAACACAACCAACTTGTTTTTGTCTTTTACATGGCATTTTTGTTGAGTAAATGTCACCTCTAGACCTTGATTACATTGAAAGGTAACCACGGTTGGGAGGGCAGCGGGAATACACAATTTTAAACTCCCAATAGTGATTACTAGCCCAAGAACACGTACTAAAACCCTAGCTAGAGATAGAAACTTATACCTTCTCCGGTAAAGTGGTATGAACGTGAAGTCGAACAAAAGATGTTGAAGGAGCAAACGTAGCCGTTCAAGCGTCTGGCCTCCAACTTTGACACACAAACAATCTTTGGAGTCTATTATAATCTTTATGCTAGTAAAGATCAGATTATAATAACATATTTAATATAAAGATTATTTTAGGGATAATATAAATCTTGTATATTCAATAGTAGAAAATCTATCAATAATATTTTAAAGAAAATATTATAACAATTTTCTACACCAAAATAATTTTGGTACCCAAAATAATTCTTTCCCTCCCATTGCTCTTTCCCCAGGCAAGTGGATAAACACAAAGGAATTCCATGTATTGCCTTCACTAATGAAGAGGTATGTCTTCTGGCATCTATATTTTCTAAGGCCTTGGTTGGATCTCTCTACTTTGGGAGACCTAGCCTTGAGTTCATTAGACAAACCCTGGAATGCATTGGCTTCAAAGCTTTCTCTGTCACTCTCATTGACAATGCACACATCCTTAACTTCTCTAACGAGTAGGAATATCATAGATGTTTCAAGTGTAGAGAATGGATGCTGGGTTCTTTTAAAATGATGATTTCAAAATGGACACCTTTCTTTGATCCTAAAGTTGAATCACCCATCCTTCCGGTCTGGATTTCTATTCATGATCTCCCTATACATTTCCATGCCAAAGAACCCCTACAGTATATTGCACAGATTTTTGGAACTCCAATCAAACTTGATGCCACAACAGAAAACTTTGGCAGACCCTCCCTGGCGAGAATTTATGTAGAGGTTGATATTTTTAAACCACAAATCAATAAGACTGTGGTTCAAAATGGAGATCAGCCTCTCTTTCTCAATGTTTCCTATGAAGATGTCCCATCTTACTACCAGGATTGCAAGGGAGTCTCAAGACATAACTCAGATTGCAAGCATTTTTCAAAAACCCAAACCCCTCCCGTCAACAGCACTGGCCGGAATATTCCCCCCAAACCCATAGATCAGCCTCATAATAACTACAACAAATATGCTGACAAAAGACCCATGGCAGAGGGGCCAAACCAGAAGAGCACCACAACAACCACATATAGACAAAAAACGAACAATCACCCTCCCACCTCTGCCCGAAACAAATACATCAAAACAAACGCCCCTACCCACAATACACCTTCCTAGCTCACTACTGCAGTCCCCCCTCCAACCAAAATCCTCCAAAAAAGCCCCTCTATTAATCAAGATGACCCTACCCCCAGCACTTCTCAATTCCCAGAAGGAAAATGCTAAAGAGGCACCACGTGTGCCTCCAAGCATGCTACCTAATATATATTTAATTTTTTTTTTTTAATTTTTTTTCCAAATCTAACTCTCTCCATTCTCCCGCTTCCCAATTTTCCTAGTTTCTTTCCCAATTTTGGCTTGCCGGCAAAATCCCCAACCCTCCATCTCCAGCAACCCTCCACCTCCAGCGCACCCCCAGCCCTCCAGCGCACCGGCCCCACAACCTTCAGCGTCGTCTCCCCCCCCC